ATTGCGCATACGCTGCGTGTTGCAATGCAGCTGTAAATAATTTGATTGCATTTTTGTGCGGGCTGATGCGTTCGCCTCTGTCTCTTTTGCCCTTTTGCCCATCACACTCTAGCCCATTCACTCACTCACTTTGTGCTCTTGTTTGCCTAATCAGCTGAAGTGCACGCCGCCAGGCCATTTATGTCCATATATAAAGATATTCGGTGGCCCTATTGGCCCCTATTCGAATCGTTATATTGATGTATGGAATTTCATGAAATTTTATGAAATTTATGCGCTGGCCGCCGCACGAGTTGTGTGTGCATAAAATGGACGCCATTTTCGCATATTTCGGTAGGCGGCTGGGCGGGACGCGGCTGAAATGTGGACACTGCGGCTAAGCGAACCGCGTCGCATTGCAGATGAAACCAATTTTGTTGAGCGACAACGACTGCTAGGCGACTCTCGACTGGCGCGTGAGCAAATTAATTTTCATCGTTGAAACTGAAGCAAAACAGAAATGAAACTGAAAATAGAATTTTAAAATTGTAGAGAGAAGAAAAGATACCCTAGATTAATTTTGAGAACTAATTGATTGTCTAATTTTATAAAAATTATATATTGTAATTTGTTTTTATAGATCCTTAGTAGTTTTTTTAGACACACTGATTAAGTATAATTTATTTTCCCTGCCGGAAATTGATTCCCAACATTTCGACTAGTTCCTTCGACTTATCGTATACTCTAACTCTCGCATACCCCTGCCAATTTTGTACAGGGTATACATAGGCCCACACTCGCATACTTTAGGGCTGCATGGCATAAATGATATGGCGGACAGTGGCAGAACTCTTAGTTGAGGTCCCAGGCCCCGAGGCCCATTTCTCTGCGCCCTATCTTTTCCTTTCGTTACTTCCTGCGTCTCGCTCGATGAATTATGAATTCGTTTTGTGTGCAGCAAAAGTTTTTTTTGGCTGCCTCTTTCCCATTTTTACTTTTTGCCTCTTAGGTTGGGCTTTTTTTTTTGCATCATTTTGCGGCTGGAAAGAATTATGTGCAAAATGTTCTTAGCCATGTTTTGGGCTTGCGCTGCGGCTGTTGTTCGAGCGCTGGCGACAGTGGCGGAAAATTAATATTTGTACAAGTGGATTTCGGGGCAAGCTTTCGTTTGTAAGTAACCAAAAAAAAAAAAAAAAAAAATGATGAGAAACGCTGAAAAAAAGTTGAAAACCCCAATGACAAACTGCGCGTACTACGAATGGTTTTATACACAGCCATTTGTCTAGCGGCTTTTCAAGTTGTTTTTGCATGTGACAAGAATTTAGTGAACGCAAGCTTAGTGCGCTGATAAAGTGTGAGAAATAGAGCAGCTAATTTGACAACAAATTGTTCTGGCTAACCCACACAGATGAGGCTCTGTCTCAATTTTACGAATATGCAATATTTTGCACAAAATTTGTATCGATACACTAGATTGTTATCGGGGCAAATTATTCAAAACCAAAATTGAATGCACTGGTTTATTAGCAGGGAAAATGATTTGCATACAAAATGCATTTGCATACAACTTTTTGACAGCCAATCGGATTCAGCCTTTCTACCTACATCGCTATCAGCAGCTCTAAGGTTTTTGTTTTCAGCTCGTCAAACTAGTTGAGCTGAAGCATTTATCAAATTACACTGTCAGCTGGAAGATGCAAAATATTGCTCTACTCCGGGAGGAGCAGGAGCTGTGCTCTGCTCTCCTGCTGCAAAAACTATTTTCATTTTCTTTCAATTTGACCTGCAACTGACAGCTTTCTCTTGAACGTTTTCTCTAGCTAGCTTGGGGCCCTCTCTATTCTGTTCTCTCTCTCTCTATCTGCCTCTCTCTCGGTATTAAAGACATTACAATTTGATTAACAATATGTTTGTTTGACATGGTTTTTATGGCATACACAATATCCATTGTCGAAGTTATTATAAAGATACCAAAAGATTCCCTAGATGAATTTCGAGAAACTTTTCAAATAATATTAATAGAAAAATTGCTGTTGATACTTTTATATTCGATATTTGTCTTAAGCTATTTATTTCTGACCATTTTTCCTTGTCGTCTTAGTTATATATATAAGAGTATTTCCTATTTCCCTACGTAACTGTCATGGATATACAAAAATGAATCCTTCTGGAAAAAATCTCTAAATTTATATTCTGTTTATTTGATAAACATTTGCAGCAATATATATCACTTTATATGTAGTCAATGGCTTGTCAAGTTTAGCTTAATTACATTTTACGTTTTATGTGTTTGCATTTATCTATCAATCTTGCCCTCCCACTCTTTCTTACCTCATTTTATCGGCACTATTGCCAAAAATATGTATGTGCTCTATTCAAAAACAATTGACAATTGGACGATAAGGCAACAAGCGAGCACTAAAATTTAGCTCTGGCTAAGCCTTTTACTAAATTCATCGAGGCAAGCAGCACTGAGCTCTGCCACTTGGCAAATTGCAATTGCTCAGCTTTTGCCTAGTTTATTTTCTATTTTTTTGCTCTCTCTGGTTTTTGGGTTATTCTTATGCAAAAGTTGTGTTTTGTGCAGAATGTAACAAGTTTTTAGTTATGAATATGCATCAAGGCCTTTGCCTGTGCTGGCTGTCAAGTGTCCTGCCACAGCAGGACATGCCATAAATGCACCGCACATGTCCATCAACGTCAACGTCAACGTCAACATCGCCCCAACGCCCAAAAACTCCTGGCGAAGCCCATTTGGAAAGTTTAGTATTTGCATTTGTTGTGAGGAGGCTCAAACTGCAGCTGCAGCTGCTCCGTTTGGTCATTTGGTTGCAAAAGACACACAGACACGACACACGCAAACACGCACACACACAGTGACAGGATATGCACAGGATGCACTTGTGCATTTATCGTTTTGCATACGCATTATTTATGCGAGCCACAGACCAAAAGGCTGCTTGCCATGCAGCATTAAGTAGGCCTGTCTGCCAGCCCTGGCCATCATGTCAA